CTACTTTTCTCTTTGTTTTATTGTATTGGCCGAAGCTCGATTATTCGAATTATGTTTAATTCATTTCCATCTCGATGGTAATGCCCGCAGTCTAGTGCCTAATGTCCCAATCAAACTGGTACTAAGGTATTCAATTTATATAAATAAAAGCGAATTATTTAATTAGATTATAATATATATTATTTATTGGAACCTCAGTAATTTTTTACTTTAATGGTTTTTTGTATTCGTTTTGTAATAATAATATAATAGAATATACGGAATAGCGACAAATAGTCCGTAGCCCTTCCAATGAAAGTTTACGTTTACGCTGTAATTGTCAATTAAGTTTAACCAATGTTTGTTACAAAAAACCTTAGTACTGTGAAATATTACGCGAATTCTGGTCACGCACGAGTAAATACATAAACGAGTCGAGTTACAGTAGTTACGGCCTCTCCGACATAAATTAACATTAAGAAAGGCGACCATTAACAGCAATAAATGCGGTTACGCAAGACAACAGATGTCCGACTGACGATTTTATTAGAAACGTGATGACTGATGAGTGTATCGTATCGTACCGAAATCAATGCTGACCGAATGATTGCGGCCAAGAGACGTGATCCGACGACACCTTCCGGCCGGTGTGAAAAATTATTATACTCTGATATCTCAATGCCTCATCTGTAACGGTGTAATTGCTGGTTTAGCGGTTTTTATTCAGTCAAAAAGATAATTTCTCGGTTTCTTCCCAGCCCTTTGTTACGACTAAACCGATTTCCTGCCGGGCTACGTGAAAATTTAAACCGACTTAATCCCCTATCGAGCTTTTAATGACATTTTCTTGGAACGCGAAGCCGCAAGAAAACAACCACCACGAACCAAGACGGTTAGCCGCAAATCATAGAAAGATTTGCCGCATTGATAAAAATAAACGAAGGCTTGTATTACGAAATCAATATGAAATTGCATTTCCTAATGTCAATTGTTAGTTACGGAGTGCAATAAAGTTCCAATAATCATGATATGGAATAATTCCTGGGCGATGTGCCTTGCTGGAGCGCATTCGTCTCTTTCCTTCCAATAATTTATGTGTATTTTTGTTTCATTCTTAGCCAGAGGATCGCACGGAGTATGATGAACTCGGTAATGATCCAATCAGAATTGAAGTGCATCAAGTCTCAGACTCTGTGAGAATGCGGTTGCGGGGTGCAAAAACTATGAGCACGAATTTAAATTAAACCACTTGGTCTTGTTTCTAAACGAATACTTATCGTTGTTATTTAAATATAAATACGTACCAAGGTACAAGGCACTCACTGCAGCGAAAATAGTTTGGTAATAGATATTATTTATCTTCTGTTTGAATACACTTGAGAGTTTTAAATGCTTAATACATTTTCATTTGTAATCTGAAGCAATACCGGTTACAAAGTAGTTTCGCTAAAGTTTAACTTTTATTGCACGATGTGCACTAATATGCCTCAAGTGTTCGTTTTAAGATGTTTTTCGGGATTAAAAATAAGTAATGGTCTCAAAACACCGACTGCTTACCGAAGGCTTGTAATTATTTTAAAAATTCCGCTTGCAAGCTGACCGCTTGAGGCGAGCCGGACGAAAACCCATATTGAACCTACAACCTTCGGGGATGTAACATAATTATTTGTTCATTGAAATTTTACACAGATCCTTATTAAGTAAGAGAATTGCTTCTTAGTGTTTGATAATTTTACGTATTTACTTTTTATATGACCATCAGAATTAAGATACATAAGAGCCAAAATATAATCACCCAAAAAAATGTTTATTTCAACATAGAGAAGTAACTATTGTGTTAAGAAAATAACTTATATATAGTTGTAAAATATTTGATAATAGAAGTGAGCACAAGGAAATAATTCAAAAATATATCCAAATAGTTTAACATTCAAACGTTTATTATCATCAAAGCGGCTTATCGAAAACTCCGATAGATTACGCTAAGCATGTACATATGTATGTAGTGCGTTTATAAATTATCAAAACGAAACAGTGACTTATCACTCGCTTCAAAACGATCAAAATTATTTTTTCCACGTGTTTTTTTAAACGTGTAGCCTAAAATGTCTTTCCATAAAGCAAAAGTGGAACCGGTTCGAGAATATGTAAGTACTTTTTGAGTTATATTATTATTATAACTATTATATATTTATAATTATTAAAATTGATTTCATTTAACAGTTAAAAATAAATTTTCATAGTCACAACAATCTTGAAATTGCATCGAAAGGCTTTTGGGTTTTCTAATCATTCAAGGACGTTTTATTTTAATGTATTTATACCAATTCGACGTAATCTATTGTCGCATTCAACCTATTGGTTAGGCTTTTTGTTAAAGTGTTTTTTGCTAGTAGAAATTCGAAGCAACAAGCGTCAAATTTTTTGACAATTGTCAAAAAATAAGTATGCATCTATGGCACTAACTGGAGGATTGTGACTGAAATAAAATTGTAAGGTTAAAATTGAAAGTAAATACCTAACATTTTTTATCGCAAACTTAAAAAATAAAATTACAATGTTCTTATAGTTTTTTTATAAGCGATATCATTTATAGTAAGGCTGTCCGTCTACGTAATAAAAAAAATCACTTGAAATCTAACGAGTAAGATGCTGCGTTCTTATCGTATCGTTCGAATCCTCTGGTAAAATTAATTATCAAGTACCATGGTAAATAATTATGTACGGAATCCTTCTTTGGTACGTAATGTTAGACGGTTTTATAAACGATTTCCTTTTTATTGGTCTACGTATCTGGCAGTGAACTCGACGGGCTATTCTGGCTTCATTGTGACTGGTGGACGAGCTCAGCCTGAAAGAGTTTGCTAGCATCTGCCCTAGCAAGAGCAGTGCTTCGCTGAATCTACCACCAGATCGAAATCGCAGCCTACCAAGAAAAACCGGCGAGAAACTGAATGGCGAAAAACGATCCATTATAGATACAGAGTATTTAACTAATAAATAAACGATTCACATTCAACAATTCTATTTCGCTTGTATTATCAACGCATTAAGCGTATTTGAGATATAAGAACAAATACCTGTGAAGAACAAATAGGTGACCAAAGATACTGATTTCGACTGCGAATTAAATCTGGACCCATTAGTCCAACAATAAATCGAAATTCTACAAGACCGTGCCTCAAAACGGCTCCAGTGGCTTCATTGGCTCAAAACCAGGTAGACCTTGAACTTCTCCCCCTAGGTTAGTAGCTATATACCTAACAGAAACTGTATGATTCGTTTTTTGTACATTTTTCTCACTTTCTGGGCTCGACATTATATCATCCTGTAGGGTTTACCTCCTGCCATTTTTGTAGAAACATAGACCTGAAAGTGACAAAGCAGCACACTCGGTCACCCTCGACCAAGAGTTCGACTTGCGAACTAGCCCTTAAACACAACCCACAAAATTTCTCGCCGGATTTTTTCAGTGGTTCGCGATTCTGATCCGGTAGTAGATTCAGCGAAGCACTGCTCTTGTTAGCAATTCTTTCAGGTTGAGCCCGTAAGCTCACCTACCGGTCAGCGTGAAGTTAGATCAGCCCCTTAGGCTACCACCGATTAATTGAGGAAAAAAGAAACCAGTAGGTACTCATGATTTTGTTATTGGAACTATATCATTATACCTACTATTCGAAAATACAGTTCACCTAATTTCGAAGTGCTTTTGTTTTTATAATAACCGTTTCGTTGAATTCGACTTTACCGTAAAGTTAGTTTTAGATCTTTTTTTGTAACGGTTAAAAAGTGTTTGTCAAGAGTAGCGGTGACGGACATAGCCAGTGAACGGACGGTCACGGGCAAGGCCAAACCAAGATTATATATTCTTAAGAATTTAAATCAAATAGATCATTAAAAAACGACCTTTCTCTATTCAGTGTTGTGTATTTAAACGCGTCGACTGCAAAACGTGATTCTCACTATATTACGTGTCATTAAGTGATTCAGCACGAAGTAACGGTGTACCTTCATAATGAATTTAGTGCTGCGAGAGATAGTGGCAAAAGCTTCGATTGAAGCTAAACAAGAATCGGTTAGTATTATGTTTTTATGCTTACCCATCAATAATAATTATTGATAAGGAAAGTTTAAGAGACTATTTATGGAAGATTGAATAAATAAATAGCTTGTATGTANACGTGTCATTAAGTGATTCAGCACGAAGTAACGGTGTACCTTCATAATGAATTTAGTGCTGCGAGAGATAGTGGCAAAAGCTTCGATTGAAGCTAAACAAGAATCGGTTAGTATTATGTTTTTATGCTTACCCATCAATAATAATTATTGATAAGGAAAGTTTAAGAGACTATTTATGGAAGATTGAATAAATAAATAGCTTGTATGTAGGTACTTAGTTACACACTATAGTCGATATTAGTGCTGTATTAGCAATGGTACTTACTACTAATGATAACTTAAAATCATATAAGTTTCACGATTTGTATAAAATAGTAAACCATAAGGGTCACGTTTATAAAGAGTGTGCAAGTGTAGGCTTAAAGTGACACAAATACCTAACACAGGTATTATATTTTCGGATTTTTTAAGACATAATGTGGTAAATATGTGTTAATTTAAAAAAAATAGTATAAAAGGCTTACGCTCCACCCCAATCATCAGTCAATCATACAGTTAATATGCCATGGGATATTTACCCACTTCGAATAAAATTAAGTTGGCCATGATAAAGTAACAAGGTGATTTACGACCATGAGATTTTCTTACATCTGTAATTTATAACTTTGATGTTAAAAAGCAAAATTATGCGTTATAGTAAATATAATGAATGCTTTTTCTAAACCATACATTCAAAATTGTAATGCAAAAAATATAAATGAAAAGCGAATGAAACAATTTCATTGATTTCAAAATGCTAATATTATGTACTCCAATTTTAATGACAATTTAAAGCGTTTCAAGATTTTTTTAGAATATTTATGGCAACACAAAAACGATTCTGACGTTTGTGTGACGTTTGTGCGAAAACCAAAACAAAGACATAAATTTCGTTTTTTTAGTGAATTGATTGTTAATAGAATTTTGCTGATATTAACTATTGCATATACTACACACAGTATTGTAATTAACTACTGAAGATGTATGCATAACACTTTTTTGTAAGAAACCGCTAAAGTGAGGTTAACTAAGAGGAAAATAAATTGTTGATCGTTCTGAGAAAATTCAACATAATAAACTAAATGAACCATACTCTTCTATTACTATGTAGTTTAATGCTGCAGTGTTGTGCGTTATCAGAGAAGCATTTAAATGTATGCTTAAGAATTGACTTATTTTTTTATGCAAAGGACTGCCAAGCATTCTTCTTAAGAAGTAGCCAATCTGAACACACAAGCTATAAGAGGTTTCTGTTAGAAGAATTAATACTACAAGATAAAATGTCAAGTGAAAGTAGTTTTTATCGACCAAGGAGTGCACTTGCCCGAGCACTGTGTGAGAAACAAAACAATGATAGATATCTCCAGGAACTCGATCAGAATGAGGTAAGATGAATATAATATTCACATGAAAAGCGGTAAATCATTAATAAAGTGCAGGTTTCTTGACAGCAATTAAATTATGAATAAAATATGAAATTTACAAAGGAAAACTTTTACTCAAAACAATGAATTTTTTTACTAATGGTATTCATGTCAAATAAAACTAATGATACTCAGTCTAGAATTATACTTCATGTGTGCATATTATGTAGTACCAAATGAAAATATTTTAGATACAACTGCACTATGATCAACCCTTTAAAAGTACTATGTTGAATTTTTTTTATTGCCTTTGTAGGCAGACACATGTGGCACACCTAATGGTAAGTGGTTACCGTTGCTCACGGACGTCAGCAATGCCAGGGGCAGAGCTAAGCCGCTGCCTACCATTGAGTATTCTCTGCAAGCCTTGTATGAAGAAGGACATGTCATATCACAATTTAAGTTACATTGAAGTATCATATTTTAAAATTTATTTACTATCATTCTAAAACTGTTTTAAAACTTAAAATCTATGTAATGTCTAAATTTTTATGCAATATTTTTTCCGAACAGTTGGTAAATGATTAGTGTCTTTAAGAATTTTTATACGTATATGTTCCAATAGTTGTTAGGGCACCTAAATACTATCTAAGTACTATTTTACCCTCTGTAAAATAGTACTTAGATGGTATTTATATTGCAGGTGTTTTTCTTTTTTTTAATAGTAGAATTTTACTGTCATCAATGATGTTGTTTTTAGGGAATAATTAGCCTTTTTTCATCAATGCATCTTCTTTCTGAAATGCATATATAATAATAAGTCTTTAAATAATAATAAGTAATTGAATAAATATTCAAATAGTTGAATAGTACATTATGTTCCTTTCTATTTCCGCTCAAAATCAGTATTTGCCATTTGTATCTGGATATACTTGACCTGTTGTATGTTTGAAGATTTAAAAAATTTTAATTGCTTATTCATTTAATCCTTAGTCCTTATTTTTATTTCATTATTTTTATAGCCTTTATTTATTTAGTCCTTGTCTTAAATGGAATAAGTACATGTAAGCTTATAACTTGATTTAGCTTAAAAGATCATGACCGATTTGCCTGCCTTGTTTTGAATAACAAACCTGAAATGGCTAAAGCAGAATAGGAATTACTGGTAATATTGAATTAAAAAGCAAAGTGAGACTGTGCAATCACTTGCCTGAAATTTAGATCCTTAGGATCTTAAGTGAAGTTCCTATTACAACGGCTATTACACCTCTTGAATAAACTCAATTGGTCAGTTTTTTCCAAGCTCTGTAACATTATCTACGTCAACAAAGAGCTGTTTGCCTTAGCCTTGCTATTCCTAATATCCATAAGCCACAACCATTTCTCACCATCAAATTGGCCCTATGCTTGTCTGCATTAGAAGGCAGTAATACAAAGATTAATTGACTTTCTTTGACTATCTCTTTTTACAAGAGGTCTCAGCCACCTGGCTGTTTCCCTAATCCTGCTGATCTTCATGAGCTACAGTGACTACTCACCATCAGCTTGGCTGTCTGCCTTTTTTTCGGAAGTTCCATTAAGTTGTTACCTGAACCCCATTGATTGACATCATTGTGATTATGCCACTCTGAGGACAAATTCTCAATTGGAAGGCATCCTCTTGCCACAAATAGCCACGACGGTGCATTAGGACTCATGGGAAGATTTTATGCCTTTAATCTATGTCTTTGATCTCTGCCCTTGAGACATTACCAAACAAACGGGCCGATGATGCGCTTGTTTTTTTTCACCTGGTGAACAGCACCTGGAGTTATGTGGTTACCGTAGCCCATAGACATCTTCAAAGTAAATGCCGCCAACTACCTTGAGATATAGGTTCTAAGGCCTCAGTACGGTTACAACGGCTGCCCCACCCTTCAAGCCGAAACGCATTACTGCTTCACGGAGAAATAGGCATTGTATTTGCAATGACCTACGTAAATAGGCAGCGTGGTGGTACCTACCCGTGCGGACTCATAAGAGGTCCTACCACCAGTAATTACGTAAATTATAATTTTGCTGGTTTGATTTTTACTACACGATGTTATTCCTTCACCGTAGAAGTCAATCGTCAACATTTATTACGTACGTATTTCATTAGAAAAATTTGTACTTGCAAGCGTGATACGAACACCGGGATATCGCTAGATACGGATGCACCGGACGTCTTATCCTTTAGGCCACGACGACTATATCAACTATGTTGTTCAACTGTGCCAAAAGAAGATATACAGTAGATCTATTTAAAACATTCTTATCGAAGACTCTAATACATAGAAGTGTAGCGGTAGTTTTACTGCCTTTGACTGGGAGATGCATAGAAAATAATTGACAAAAATCTGAATCGCGCCAACGACATTTTTATTTGATATACTACATCAATGATATTTAACGAGTCGCTGGTCTAAAACAAGTAATCGGTGGAAGATCTAACTCTTCCTAATTGTCGCGACCAAAGAAGCCTCGGTTGCTCTACAAAAAGGGATTTGCGGTTGCTTTACATCAGATACAGGCTCGTGAACAAGTGGGTTTTTGATTGCTTTCATTACGAGAGTTGGAGATCGATTGGATCGAGGCCTTTTTATTTTGTGGTGCAGTAGCAGAATTACTTTTTATTTCTCCACCTTGAAACGTGGCGTTCAATTCTGGAATATATTGAGTAACGATTGCACCTTGCTTCGAGCTGCAAACGATGACTGCCTTGCGATGTAAATTGTCAAGACACCTACCGCAGGCGGAGTCAGTCAGTATGTGTCACGTGTAAAACGTAGTTAAAAACAAAAAAAATGTGCCAGAAAACTAGTATTTTTCTAGAGGTTCTACTTTTTTCTTTTTTCAGTAATCTATATGTTAAAAATGAATTACTGTTCGTTAGTCTCGCTAAAACTCGGGAACGGCTGAACTGATTTGGCTAATTTTGGTCTTGAATTATTTGTGGAAGTCCAGAGAAGGCTTAAAAGGTAGATAAATATGAAAATGCTCGGAATTTATAATTAAAAATAACAATTTTGTTTTTCCTTTGATGTGTCCCCCGTCGGACGGATTCCTTTTGTTTAAGTTTATTTTATAAAAAAATTTAGGTCTTTTATTTATCGACTGAGGCACTACGAAGCATGCCGGGTTAGCTAGTATTAACTAAAATGCAGGCTTTGTCCATTAAGATTATTGGTTATATAGAATATGCTCATTTGTAGATATTCTGGAAATTCCGATTAATTTTAAAACCGATTTTTTTTGTTATCTTCGTTATAAACACTCATTAAACGGGTTCTTACCACCATTTTTAATCTTGATTAGTTCCCGATATATCGGCATGGTTGCAGACGCCATGATCACAGGTAGACTGAAGACTGCGGGAAGATTCCTAAGAGCAGACAAATTTATCTAATCAGTCCGTGTCTGTGTGTTACCACTGGAACTCGATTACTCACTGTGGGGAAAACGACGAAAGGAAGATCTTCCACCGAGCGGGTGAAATTACTCGATAGACCGACGGTCCTAATGTGGTTGTTCGAAACTTTTATATATGCAAGCTTATCTTGAAAATGTCGTAAACGAGATTCAGGCATCTGTCAAATATCACATATCTTGTGTTGTTGATGGCTAGGCTTTTGATTCCATCGAAACTTGGGCGGTCCTTAGATCTCTCCAGCGGTGCAGTATTGACTATCGGTATCTCGAGGTGTTGAAGTACTTGCTTAATAACGCCACCATGTCAGTTCGAGTACAGGAGCATCATTGCACGAAGGAAATCACGTTAAAGAGAGGAGTAAGACAGGGAGATGTTATATCTCCGAAACTGCTGACCGCTGCCTTAAAGGATTCCTTCAAGCTCCTGGAATGGTAAGGACTTGGCATCAATATAAACGGCGAATACATCACACACCTTCGATTTGCTGACAATATAGTAGTCATGGCTGAGTCGCTAGAAGATTTGGGGCAGATGCTCGGTGACCTCAATAAAGTTTCCCAACGAGTGGGCTTAAAATTAATATGGATAAAACGAAAATCATTTTCAATGTCTGTTAAGCCCACCCCAGTCACTGTTGGGAACTCTACTCTTGAAGTTGTAGACGAATATATACCTAGTCAGGTCATAAATTCTGTCACATGTTTAATGTAAAATAATTGAAACAAGTTTATTCATTATGTAACCATTCATATACCAAAATGAACTTAACAAAACATAGATTCTTATGACACTAAAGTTTATTCAAAACGACCTCCGTGATTTTGAATACAGGCCTTCAATCTGCGCGGCCAGTCGTCTATCGCANACCTGAAGAAGCTGTGGACGCCTACAAAACGGCCATTTTGGAGACCCCAACTTCCGAATGGAATGGTTGCTTCAATGATTGGTTCCATCGTATGGAAAAATGTGTCAAATTTCGCGGAGAATACTTCGAAAAGCAATAAATACATTTTTAAATAGTAATGTTGTGTCACTTCGTTAATTCCCGAAATTTTCAGTGCCGCCCTCGTAGGTACGTTATAAACACTCATTGAACGGGTTCTTACCATCATTTTTAGTCTTGATGAGTTTCCGACATATCGCCGTGGTTGCAGACGCCATGATCACGGATAGACTGAAGACTGCGGGAAGGTTCCAAAGAGCAGACAAATCTGTCTAATCAGTCCGTGTCTGGGGAGGAAACAAAGGGAATATTTTCCACCAAGCGGGTGATATGGCTCGGTAGACGGAAGGTCCTAATGTGGTTTTTTTTTCCTACCTAAGCTGAAAGCCTTAAGAGGCTATTTCAGTGTAACCTTAACTAGTAGGTGAGCTCACGGGACTCAAACCTGACGACGTTGCTAACACGAACCCTAGCAAGAGCCGTGCTTCGCAGAATCTACCACCGGATCGGAAACGCGACCCACTGAGAAGATCCGGCGAGAAACTTAGTTGGCTGTGTCTGAGGGTTAATTTACACGTCGAGCCCTTCGTCGCAAGCGACGGTTCGACAAGAACGATGACCGGTGCT